ATAAGAGATCGCTATTATAGCCTGTTGATTATCTCCTATCTTAAGCCTTGTTTTGTAGATTGAATGACTGAGCAATTCAATATTTATGGCACGAATGCTCTTAATTTAATAATACTTCCGTGAGATTCCTACACCTATCCTATCGAAATGTGTTTATTCCAATAAACAAAACAAATCGATAACCTATCAAAATCAAAGGAAGTGCTAGGAATGAATCGCATCATGTAATAATAGCTAACAGAGCTCGAGTATTTTTTGAAGCGCAGTGAATGAGAAAGCATCGGATGATGGATCGCGAATGGAAACGAGTATTCACGGGCGGACGAGCAGATATAATGGTGAGTGGGAAACAGTTTTCATGGTCGATCCGATGGAAAGCTACTGTATTATATCCCGGTCGGAACGAATGGCTTCTATTTCCGCCCCGCCCGGCTCGTGTCGGGGGCCTCATCTGCATACTGTGGGGGGGGGCTTCTTGCTGCATCAGCTTTACCCTTCTCTTCGATCTTCGGGACTTCCCTTCTGCTTAGTCTGTTAACAGTCATCGCTTAATCTCCTTTTACTGTATCCAATGACTCCGCTATTATTTGTATTCATTTGAGTAATCAGAAAAATCGTCCTCATAACACTAACCGAAAAGAGTGATTTTACTACTAAATAACACTAGGCATTGTCTAACATTAGAAAATAGAAATAGAAAATAACTTTATTCTGGGACAAAGTCCCTTTAGAATAACAATATAGTACATACTTAAAAGGCTACATCTAGCCAAAATAAAACAATAATAAAAAAGATAAAGTAAGAAAATATTGGTTAATCCTATCCAATTGGGATAGGAATTGGAATAGGAGGGTTTTGAATGTGGATACAGAGGGGGAATGCAGAATTTTGATAGGTAGGGAATTCCAGAATTCGACGGCGCGAGCAATAAATAAGCCTTCTTCCATGACTAATATCCTTCTAACCTGCCACGTCAACGCTCAGTCACTCTTAGCCCATTTTGATGAATTTTACGACTTTTTTCTCCATAACTTCTACCATTTAATTGCCGTATCCGAAACCTGGTTGAAACCCACAATCCCGTCCTCCCAGATCCTTCTACCTAACTATACTCTCCTTCGTCATGACAGAGTAGATCGCACGGGTGGTGGAGTAGGTCTCTTTGTCCATGACAGTCTCAAATCCAAAATCCTTCACTGCTCTTCCATAACCGATTCTCCGCACGTTGAATACCTTTTCGCCGAAATCCTCACCACCTCATCTGCCATTCTGTTTGCTGTCATATATCGCCCTCCTAGAATTCCTTTCGATGAATCACTTGAGACTTTATTGTACAACTTAATCCCTTCCTACTCAAACATCATCCTCTCCGGTGACTTTAACACCAATTTACTGGCACCATCCTCTGATTATTCCTACCTAACAAACCTCTTTAATTCTCTCAGCCTTTACATAGTACCCTACAATCCAACCCATCATACTCAGTATTCAGAGTCCTGGCTCGATCTAATTATCCTGGATTCCTCAGACAAACTCCTTGCCGCATCTCAGCACCCGGTTCCGTTTCTATCCTCCCACGATCTTGTCCAGATCTCTTACAATGTCCCTGTTCCATCCTTTTCTCCCCGAACAATATCCTTCCGAAACCTAGATTATCTCACTCACGAAACATTGTCAGAAGGTCTTGACGATATCCAGTGGGATCCCATCTACTCCTCAAAATCCATAGACACCATGGTAGAAATCCTTACCACTCAACTTCACTCTATCCTCGACCGACATGCTCCTCTTATCACAAAAACCATCCGATATCCTCCAGCTCCTTGGCTTACCCCTGCTTTGAGGGAGTGTATGAGAGAAAGAGATGCTGCAAGGCGACGGTTTAAACGAACTCGACTTCCTGATGATTTTCTCTCCTACAAACAGCTTCGAAATAGCACTCAATCAGCAGTACGCCGTGCTAAATCCCGTTACTACCATCATTCCCTATCCAACTCTCCCAATACCAAGGCTACGTGGGCTATTCTTAGAAAACTGACCATTGGTAATACACCCCAGTCTCAGTCCAATTCCGTTTCTGCTGATAACCTCAACGCTCACTTTGTCTCCTGTCCTCTTGCATCCACATCTCCCACGTCCAGTCTGGCTCCTATGTTCTCTTCCTTTAATCCTGATCACTTCTTTCTTTCCCATATTACACCAGATGAGCTCCTTAAATCCATTCAGAAGTCCCATACCAATGATTACGGTCCCGACAACATCCCAGTCAGACTGATTAAAGCCGCATTGCCATCCATTCTTCCGATCCTTTATCATATATACAATTATTCTCTTCAAAATGCTACCTTCCCTACATCCTGGAAAACCGCCCTAGTACGCCCATTGAAGAAGCCTTCAAGCCCATCAGTTCCTAATGATTTCCGACCGATTTCCCTCCTTTCAAACCTCTCAAAACCATTAGAGCGGTTAGTCCAATCCCAGCTATCCCATTTTTTAGAGGACAATAATCTCCTAAATCCCTACCAGTCTGGATTCAGGCCTGGTTATTCTACTCAGTCTGCCCTAATCAAAATTTCCCAAGACCTTCACACAGCCATAGATCAGCAGAAACTAACCATCCTTATTCTCCTAGACTTCTCCAAAGCTTTTGATTCAGTAGACCACAACATCCTCCTAACTAAACTTAAAAATATCTCTTTTTCTTCTAGTTCCCTTAATTGGTTCCAATCCTTCCTAACCGGTCGCTCCCAGTACGTTGTAATTCCTAATAACCCACCATCAGAATCTCTACCTCTGACCAGAGGCGTCCCACAAGGCTCTTCCTTATCCCCCACCCTTTTCTCCATCTATATAAATGACCTCCCATCCTCTATCCTGCACTGTCATTACCACCTGTATGCCGACGACATTCAAATTTACCTCTCCTTTAATCCGACAGATATCTCAGATGCCACTCAAAAACTTCAGGAAGATATTGACAGAATAAGTGCTTGGGCAAACCTCAATAGGCTCACTCTGAACGCCGAGAAGACAAAAGCCATCTTGATCGGATCCCCTTCACTCCTCAAATCCTCCCCAGTATCTCCCAATCTCTTCCTGAACAACTCACCTATCTTATTCTACACCACCGTTAAAAACCTAGGTGTTACTTTCGATCAATCCCTATCCTGGAAACCTCACATCTCCCAAATTTCCCGTCGCACTATCTCCACCCTAAAACAGTTCAATCGTCTACGATATCTCCTTCCATATAAGTCCCGTCAACTCCTAGTTTCCTCCCTTGTTTTCCCCCACTTCGACTATGGCTGTATGGTGTACGGTGGACTCCCGGGAGATTCCGAGGCCAAACTTAAACGCCTAATGAATTGCGCACTACGATTTGTTTTCGGAATCTCAAGGGATACGCATATTACCCAGTATTACACTGAGTTGAGGTGGCTCTACCCATCCTATCGCCGTCAGTACTTCCTAGCCACCTTTCTGTACCAAATTATTAGAACCCATCGACCCTCCTATATTTTTCACAGCTTACAATTCAAATATTCCATCCAATCCCGTCCCACCAGATCTCGTACTTCCGACCTCTATCCTCCTCCTCACCGAACTGCTGCGTTTGACAAATCCTTTGCAATACAAGCCGCCTCCCTCTGGAATTCCATCCCAGCTGATATTCGACACGCTCAATCAGTTTCCTCGTTTAAACCACTCCTCTTTAAGCACCTACTCCTTTCTCAATCCGAATGATTGTGAAATATATCTTAGAGAAATATCTGAGCACAACCAGAGACTACCTCAATTTATTAAGGTTATTTTAGTTTCTCATACATATGTACAATTTACTTGTTCTTTTTTTTCTCTTTTCTGTATTTTTATCGTAAGTCAACTTTCATTGTAAATATACAATTTAATTGTAGCCACACAGACATATAATCTGTATTCATATTTTGTTCTTAAGGGACAACAGTCCCAGAATAATAAAACATTTTTTTCATTTCATTTCATTTTCAATAAAGGAGTTTTGGAATGAGGCAGATCTGTGAGAATCGATGTGGAGGTAAGAAGGTCGAGATCTTGTTGAAAGGGAATGGGCTGAGGACTTGAATTGGAGAAGGTTGTAGGCGTAAGAAGGACGATGGTTGTTGATGATTTGATTGTGGAACGTACCTAGGAAATATTGTCTTCGAAAGGAGCGAAAGAGCCACCTTAACTCAGTGTAATGGTAAGAGACATGGATAACAAACCTTACGCATTACTACTACTAACAATAATAATTTGCTTCTCATATGAGTACTGTTCAAAAATGTAATGTGGTTATCCTCCTCACTCAATTATGTTCCACTCCCCTTTTTTTTCTCACTCCCTCTCATCTCAAAATAGAAAAATCAATGGTAATATTTTTATAATGGTAATATCATATTTATTGATATTGTCAACTATATTAAATAAAAATACAACAAGCAAATGTCAATTGTCAACACGGACAGACGTTGAGAAATCGTCCATTGAACTTCTTCATTAGTGAAAGTCGTAATATGGCCGTAATTTATATTTAATTGGATATTATGACTGAGGCTACTGTGACTTAAGATCCGACTTATCTGTTATTTCTAAATATTTCATTATTTGTTACCGAATTTATGAGATAGTCTTAATAGTCTTAAGAACCCCTTCTTTTTAACATATAATAATAATAAATATATGACAAATTTCCGAAAGTTTGATCAACATCGCCTGGTTTGTTGTTAATATTTCAACATTTTGAAATAAACTAATTACGAAATAAAGACTAATCCCTCCCACCCTTAAATTAATTGCCCCCCCCCTTTCTTAAATCCTCTCCTTGTTAATTTGGCTTCGCCGTCGCTCTGTATGCCTGCTACAGATTATTACTATAAATTTTACCATGATCCTGAAAGTTCGTCATTTATCATTCAACCAATCAGATTACATTATGAAATTCGGTTTTATATACATTACGTAGGCTAAAATATTCGAATTGTTAGATGGTTTAAGCAATACAAACATTTGTTTATTATGTTTTTACTTCCGCTGTTTCTTGCTGCTCTTGCTTCAGAAGAAAGAAACCCCTCTCTCAATATTAATCTTTTACGTTCGGCGGGTTGATCTTTTATTCAACTCATTTATAAGATAATTCTCCTGCCTTGGATTCAAATTGAGGTTCATTTTCTGGAAACTTTTCAAGCTCCTCTTCAGATCCGCCGCGTCCATCAAATATTGTTTTGGGGAGGCGTTTGAGATTCGGTCCTGGTTTGTCTTTTTTTGCCGGGTTTTAGGAATGTTGACGTCTTGTTGGTGACGATCCGCCGACTTCGATGTACCAGCAGATTTTGACTTAGCCTCATTATCTTTATCGGGTCCTAAAAGATTTTTCCAATTCCTTGCTTCCTCCTTCCTAGCAGTGGTAACTGGAGTTCTCGATTTGGCATCCTTCAGTTTTGAATTTGCAGTCGGTTTTGCAGGTGTAATTATTCCTGAGCCTGATCTGGCGTTTTCTTCCGCTGATTCCATTTGCTCTCTGAAAATGAAAGAAAAAACAATATTTGTACGATATTGCCTGTAAATGTTTTATGTAACTCAGTTAAAAATAAATTATGAAGTGGTCCATCTGGTGAAGAGCTGTTAGGATTGGTATGTTCGGAAAAAGATTTGATCGGGACTCACGAACCTCCTTTCATGTTAGAGATAGTCATCCGGGGAAGCCCTAACTAAAACTCCCTTAAGTATAGGACTGTCAAGAGAAAGACAAAAAAATGGAAATAAAACATTATTTTGTATATGGTAACTTCATATTCATAAGTAAAGGTTATTTAATTTTATCTTTAAACGGAGTTTGGTTATTATTATACTTTTATTATATTTTCTTTGTTATTATATATTTATCCTATCAGCCAATTACCTGTCCGCCACTTCCACAATCCAGGAAGATACTTCTTTCCCTTTATTAGTTTTTTTAATTTTTTTCACTAACGTCCTTTTTCCTTCACTTTCATCTAGTCCTTTTACATAAATCTGACTTCCCTCTTCGTCTTTCAACTTGACAACCTAATAATAAAACATTTAGATGAGTGACTACATGACAAATTCGAATAATATAATAAAATATGTTTTTTTACACTTTACACTTCATGTTCATTTATAATAAACATTATGTACTTAAATTAAAATCTCATTCGATTTTGCCTCAGTTTGGGATGTGAATAGGAAATGGAAACGAAGGGATTTGAATAAGGGTATGGAATCAATATCTTATATGTCTATAGAAATTAACATTCATTTGTTATTCATAAATATGACCAATACATTTTTTACAAAATTATCTCTCTATTATATTAAAAAGTTTTAAGTAACCTTCATATATTTTTTTAGTAATAGGTTTAGTTGTTCATTTAATTACATATTTATTGAGCTCCTGTTACCTCCTATTCTCCTAACAGAAAATAAAGATTTTAGACTAAAAAATTGTACGGGATAAGGTATTTATCTGGAGGTGGAAGTTTGATTTTACCTAGGTGACTGTAGTTATTTTTCGATCTAGACATTTCTCCTCGAATACAATATATTAACTTTTATATTATTTATATCATATTGTGGTTATAAATATTACGAAATAGAAAAGGAAGAAAAATATAACGTACAATGGAAAAATTAGAAACAAATGCTCCAATTATTGTTTGGCTTATATCAAGCTGGACAAATAGGCAATAAGAATAATTATAAATATATAATATTATAAATTGGCGATAAGACAGATGTATAATATAGGTTCTTTAAAAAATTAAAAGTTTGTCCAAACTGTTGTTTCTTTCAGTTTATTTTATGTTGATACAAATAATACAATCTGAACTACAGAACATATGTAAATTAAAGTTATACAAATTGAGCAACGAGTGGTAGAATAATGGTGGGTTAGGCGGACAGAGGGTACCTATCTAGTAATTTTAAACATTAAAATATATTTAAAAAAACAGCTGGTAATTAACAACTGGCAAATAGTTTTATAATGATAAAAATCTTATAACGGCTTTAAATAACTTTCAATTGAATTAGCCGTTCTCTTGAAAACGGTGAAAAATCCCTGGCTTTGAATCTACTATGATTTAGTTTGGTTACTAAGATGGTGGTTGGGAATTATTATTGCATAAAATCTGGGCTCTATGTAACGGCTGAAACAAATGTTTTTAACGATATCAGCCCAACCGTTTTCTCCCGAGGAGCCGAATAAATAAATCTAAATCAGAGATGATAAGTAAGATTATTGTAAATTAACTAAAAATTATTGTAAATTATAAATTTTCTGCTTGCCTACCTTTCCCGGTCCTTGCCAGTAAGGTTGTGAGTGATGTTCCGACAGGTTGTACAGCTTGACATTTCCATCACGTTTGTTAGAGCTATTACCGTCCTTGGCTGGATTGTAATAATATGGATTACCTGGCAAGGTTTGCTCTACCTGCTAAATATATTAAGCAATGCGAATAAGTTACTTTCATTTTAATATAAACCATTTAAATAACTAATCTTAAAGGTTTTATTATGCGCTAATGTTTAAACAATATCAATCATTTACGATTTTGCGGTTAGAGTAATTCAAAATTAATATTTTATTATTTATTTATTTAGACATATAATATTCTGTCACAGGGACAATAATTATATTGATAAATGAACACATTCATACCGTTTATACAAAAAAAAAAAAAAAAAATTAACAAAAGTAAAATAATAACTAAATAATAATAAATAAAAACTATATACAATAAAAAAAAAACCTAAATACACGTAAATTAAAAACATAAAAACAGTCACACCTATATACAATCAGGCGGGGAACCCAAATCCCCGCGCTACTCTCTCAACCGCCTCACCGGTGCTAAAGCCGGTGGAGTTTGAGCGAGAGCGCTTTAGCCACATACATTCATGTCTTGAGTGGAGAATCTGGCCATTGCCAGAACTCCAAAATAAATACTATAAAAGATCTCTAGGCCACTGCCGCTTCAACCTTCGAGGAGGGTTGTAGGGATGAGTGGAACTAGATAGGGATTGGGCTAGGGGATTTGGATGATTGATAAGGTTCTGATGGAATTTTGAAAATTTTTCAGGGATAAGGTCAAGGACAAATGGGATATTAAGGTCATGATGTAGGGTTTTGTTGGTTACATAGAACGGAGCATCGACTATTGTTCGGAGGACTTTGGATTGAAAGGATTGGATGCGTTTGATGTTAGAGAATTTTGCTGTCCCCCAAAGTTCGAGTCCGTAGGTCCAAATAAGTTTCAGGATTGTCTTGTAGATCAGTAATTTGTTGTCAATTGGAAGTTGAGATTTTCTGGTCAGTAATCTGTATAATTGGCCGTATCGTCGGTTAAGTTCTTGTCTTTTAAGTCTAGTATGTGGGTTCCACGTTAGTCTTCGGTCTAAGATAAAGCCAAGATACCGGACTTTGTCTGAAAAAGGAAGCTGGATGGAATTAAAGTGGACTGTTGGACAGGATTCGGCTGAAACTTATTCCACCTGAAATTCTGTTTCATTCTACTCTATTAACTTACTCATTTTAATTCAATCAAGCTGATGATTAAGAAATTTCATGAATATTCAATACTACCATAGATTGTTTTCGAAACAACGTCGTTTGTTAGATAGTTTATATATAAAAACTTTTTGTATCAAAGTTTAAATATACACTTATTTGTTAAAATTATTCGTTTGTGAAATATTCTTATGCATTCGCAAAAAGTGTTTCCAACTTGGCAAAATTGTGGTCCTATGTTTTTTAAAAAACGACATAAGATTAGTCTTGTTATCTTAAACTCGTACCATTGGAAGATCGTCATTGTTGATGTTTCTGATTAACTATTATAAACATGAACTAAACAGAGTTAGGCAAAAAATGTATTTCTGAATAACAACAGACAAAGCACTATTAAAACGGACCATTCTATCCTTTTTTTAAAACCTCCAAGTTTCATTATATATGATGTATCAATGTTATGATTCAATGAATCAATGTTATGATTCATTCTGAGGTGCATCTCTCTACGTTCGTGTGAAGCTCTTATCACCTTCTTCAGCTCTAAGTTGAACAACATCGGTGATAGTCCATCTCCCTCCCGTAAGCCAGTTCGAACTTCTCCGCTTCAGATACATATCCTCGTATTCGGACTCGAAATTTAGGGTAATTTAGACACGCCACGCCATTGTCAAATTCCCAGTTCAGTCATAATTTTCCAAAGCCAGCTCCTGTCCATAGAATCATAGGCTGCTTTGAAATCGACAAATATGGTTGCCTATTTTATTTTCGAATTCTATGTAATTCACTCTTGCATAGAGCCTTTCTTTAGAATAGGACAGATTAATCTGGTTTCAAAGCCTCTGGTATTCTTTTCTCCCCCTATATTTTCTTAATTAGTTGTATCAACATGGTTTTTCTTCTCCCCATATTTAATTTAAACAGTTCTGATGATAGGTCGTTCATTCCTGGTGACTTTTTTTTTTTTTGCCTTTCTATAGCTATAGTATATCTGGTTTTTCAATCTCTTTTCGGGTGTGGTCTGGAAATGTTCTTTCCAGATACTCAATATCTTTCTTTAGATGAAGTCAGAATGCAACATTTTCCACGCATTTGCGTATTTCTCGCTTTATATCCTACCCACTTTTTTCTAAAGTCTGTTTGAAATTCGCCTAAATGTCCAGCCTTTCCAATTACTCTCAACGGTTGATTATTTATCTTTGAGGAATTCATTTTTTGCTGATATTATAATTTTGAGGTCAGTTCTGGCTAAATAGAGGACTTTAATTTTCCTTTTTTTTGTTTTCAAAACCAAATTATGATTGATTCGATATGAAATTCTATTGCTTTTAATTTATGTACTAAATAACACCACCACGATGAATGCAAGACGATGAAGAATATATATTTTTCTATTTATATTTCCTAAAATTTCAATATTGACTTACTCGTTTTTCTCAAAGTCATATAAATATCATCTGTGACTAGCAATAACCGATTCAATTATATGTTATTTTATTCTGGGATCAGAGTAGTTACACATGGAGAAGAAAGGCCAATAAAGAACTGGTTACAGAAACTGGTCAATCAATATCCCATGATATGCACGGAGGTTAAGATGGGTGGGGCATTCAACTCATAGCAATCCATCTGGATGCCTTTATGTACCAATGAATAGAAGGCAAAAGAGCAAGTGGAAGGCCAAAAAGCCTATGGATAGATAGAATCAACAAAGATGCAACAGAGCTGCGTGCAGATAAATGGAAAGAAATAGCGCAGGACAGACGGAGATTGAGCAGGTCTGTTAAGGTGGTAAAAGATCTACCTGATCTGTAATCTGACAAAAAAAAAATATATTCCAGCTACGATTTTGTATGGATATTTTCTAGTAAAAACTCAAGATTTCTTAGAAAATGTTGATGTATAGGTATTTCGATATAATATCATATTTCAGTGTTTATAAATCATACTTCGGAATATATATGTTGGATATACATGGTTAAACTGTATTATTAAATTTATATAATATACTTACATCTTCCGCATTCTCTCCCGCAATCTTCAGCTGCTCATCAAATGTCAATACCCAAGCAGCAAGTTTTCTAGCAGTCACTTCAGCTTCCTAGAAGATTACAAAAAAAAAAAAAAGTTATCCATTCTTGAGATTTCAGACTTTTTGACAATAAACTAATGTCATTATTTAGATGTATATGCAGGACCGTCGCGTGAATATGGCAACCGGGACGATTTAAATAACAGTTGACTAATAAAGTATATGGATTTTAGAACGAAAATATGGGAACAAAAAATATATTCAATCTATAATATATAAATCGGTATATGGGGGCGTCTCTGGGGATCTCGAGGCGAAATTAAAATGTTTGCTAAATTGCTTTGTACGATTCATCTTCGGGATACCAAGGGGCACCTCTTTTTCCCAATTTTTATGCAGAGTTGAACTGCCTTTATCCTTCCTACCGTCGCAAATATTTCCTGACATCCTTCCTCTTACAAGTCATCCGATCCCACCGCTCTTCATACATCTCCGAGCTCATTCAATTCAAATCCTCTGTTCGTTCCCGCAATACTCGTTCCCGGTCTTCTGATTTATACATAAAGGCCCACCGAACCGCTGCTTTCGACAGATCGTTCATTATCCGATCCTCATCCCTTTGAAACTTCATTCCTTATCACATTCGTCAATCTAATACCCTTCCTGCCTTTAACTCCCGCCTGTTCAATCATTTCTTGTCCGTCCTGTCCCCATGAAATTATAAATAGATACTGATGTAAATATGTATATAAATCATTAGTTCGTTCTTCCTTATTTTTACTTATTCCTTCTTTTAATTTTTTATTATTAACTAATTAAAAATAGAAAGTAACTTATAATTTTTTATTTTTTTACTATGACTGTTTAATTACTCTGTATTTTTATTTATGTGTCTCTGAGGCTCCTTAGCCCATATTTATGTTTTTCTGTATTATTCTAAAGGGACTCGTCCCACAATAAATAAAGTATTATTATTAGTATTATTGGTAGCTCAGTGGTAGGGCACTGAGCTTCCAATGCAAAGGTCCCAGGTTCGAACCCCGGCTCATGGCAGAAAATTTATTTATCTGTTTCATTGGTCGTGGGGCGACCCTGGGCCAGGAAGACCCTCCTTTGGGCACACCCAGCCTCTATAAAGTGGGTACCCGTAATTAAATAATTAATTAAGGGGGAAAACCTGACGGTTGAGCGTGATCTCGGTCAAATCACCTCCTTGCACAACCGTTGACCTAGAAACAGTGCTTTCCCTAAATAGTACTGAACCCCAGACCCTTTATGGGTTTTAGTGGTACAGGTTTTATTATTATTATTATTAAATGATTTCACGTACATCTTTCGTTCTCTGACAATATAGCCTAAAATAAATACATTGTTTGTTTATAGTTCAAAGCATAAAGTAAGTGTTGGCTGATGGGTATATTTATGCGAAAAATATTGGTTAATGTCTAATCGGTGATTAGATGTTATACAGGGCGTCACTCTGTAATAACATAAATTTCTCAGCATTAAAATATAAACAATTTGAGTCCAAATTCGTCTCTACGATGATCCACGTAACCTCTCCAGCCTAAACCTGCTACTTTCTGAAGTGGTAACATGGAGCTTCCTAGTCAGTAGGACATCCCGGACAAGAATTTGAAGAGAAACTGGACCGCCTAGACTAATAGGTTAGTTTGGTTGTTTACTTGCGTTTTAGAAACACAAGGAAGTGGTGTTGGACTTTTCCATGTATAACCTATCATTACAAACAATACTATATTAAGTTTGCAACTAGTTTTCTTGAAACTTAATTGAGTATTGTTTATAATTGTAGTGTGTAATTATTTTCTGTAAACTATTTAATTTTTTTTTACTGTAGGAAATGAATACTGAACATTAAAACATTGAGAACATTAAAATCTCAAAACGTTGTAAAAATATAGTTGTTTAGGTATTGATTGAACCTCTACATCTTCGCGTATGTATATATATATATATATATATATATATATATATATATATATATATATATATATATATATATATACATTATATATATTATATTATTATATATATATATATATTATATATATATATATATATACATTATATATATATATATATATACATTATATATATTATATTATTATATATATTATATATATATATATATATATATATATATATATATATATATTACTTTTTTTATATATCATTACAAATTACCAACTCATTTGGTATAGACTTTCTCAAATCACTTGATAAATTCTTTACTAAAACTTGGTACAAATCGTTGTATAGCTCATCTCCAGGACCTGGAACATAGATTGATCTGGAAAAATTATTAAATGAAAATGTACATCAAAGTTATTCTAATTTGAGTTAATTCAATATTTTCAATAAAATATCAGCTGTATATACATAGTTCATATACATAATGTAATAACAATATATATAATAGCCGTTTAAATTACAAATGACTTTGATATTTAGATATATATCCGCTATATTTTAATTCATTTCATAATGTTAAGTCAGCTTAAATTTGAGTAAACATTTTCTATTTATGGAAGAAAACCTTCTCTAGTGAAGAGGTATAGAATTACACAATTCTCTAAACAAAGTTATTAAGACTCACTGTGTATAACTTGAGTTGAGAATAACTGAATACAAGTCTATAAGAATCTTGAATATCTCAAATCACGCAATACTATATTCGGATGAAAATTATCAAATGGCTCGTAAATATTTAATTTAAGATAATAATTTGATAAATAGTTTGTTTACAATACCTGGGATTGATGTTTTCCTAATCATGTTTTTGACAACATCAATAATTTTTTTATCAGTGAATTTAACCTGAAACAGTTCGCAATGATTGTACTCTCGTTGTGGTCCTTGATATGACATTGGTTAAATGATTATTGTAAAATAGTGTATATGATAGTGGAGTTAAGATTATTATACTAAAGTTTTGACTTTGAATCACTTAAACGCCATTCCATGTAGGTAGTTACGACATATATATAAAATCTTTCTGGCTAAAGCCTCTCTCTCTCCCCCAAAATTAAATCTTGGATCCGCTAGTGCTCAATATTATGTGTTCACCAAAAACTTTTTCCCCAATGTCCCTTCATCTCTTGAATTTATAAAGGGTGTTTTAAATTCTTCTCCATCTGACTCTCTACTATATTTAGAATCTGCTGATATATTTGCATCATCACAGCCAATGGAATCGCCGTTTTCTTCTATCTTTATACTCTTTACCAATTGATTGCCTTGAACTAAACTCGTCCTTCACTCCTAGTAAGTCCCATGAAACACAAAATCTCTTGAATGAACTTTTATTTTTCTCCCGTGATCTAAACTCTTTTTGTATCCCATCGTACTCAAATAAATATTCTTTCAGTATTTTGTTTTCCACTTTCTTTTTTCATTGTATTTGTGGTTTATCATACGCTGTAATTTTACTGGGGAGGCTCAAAGTACTACGTCGTCTGCATAATATTTAACCAAACGATTTCTGGCTCTTCGTTTAAATTTTCGTTTATGAACAGTGCAAATAGTAAAAGGTTAAGCAGGCAACTCTGTCTCAATCCTATTGATGTTTCAAAAAAGTTCTTCCTGATGGTATATCGTAGCTTTAGTATTTGAACATTTATGAGACAGTCCAAGCTTAGCTAACTTAAAAAATAGAGTCTCCCTATCTAGGCAATCAAACGCCGTTTTAAAATCTATTTTATTTTTCAACGATTTTTTTAACGGTACGGAATATCTTCATTAATTCTTAATTAATTAAAATAATCATTAAGTTTAATCCAAGATCATCTTATTCTTCATTAGAGAAAAATAGTCACATCGTCATGAAATTTAAGGAAAAGAAGTAATAAGGAAGAAAAAAAAACGTTATTTGAACATAACTCAAAGATTATAAAATTTATGATTACATTCATAATTATTTAAAAGTGTTTAGAAAACCATCGAAAGTTTCCTTTAAAAATCATCGAAATCCGATCATTATAGCGAAGATACAGTCAATTGTTTTGTAAATGTCTTAGTTTATTATTGAATGAATAACTAAGAAAACTATCCCTATGAGATTCTCAAGAAAAAGAGGATATCATACACTTCTTAGGGACTTGACAAATGTACATTGAGAGAAGATAAAAATATTTTCGGCAGGAGTCCTGTTCTTCAGAAGAATTATTCAGCGTGTTAAAGATTGCTATCTGAAAAGCCTTAAACAATTATATATACTGCAGGCCACATTGCAAAGATCTCAATTAGTCAGATAGTTAACAACTAGTGCAATATCATATTTATTTATTAAAATATTTATTTGTATGGTGTTTTATTGTCATTGTTAAAATTTTATTTTAATAAATGAAACAGTGGATGGAAAATATTCTAGAATGCAGGTATAAGTATATAATAATATCGTATAATTATTATTACTCATAAAGATCTCGACAGACGGAATTTTCCAATGCCTACGTGTTACTTGTGAATGTATGTTTACTTTGTATAATTGTATTACGCAAGTTTTCACTCATATCGATATAAACATCAAAATAAATAGACGCCAGACCAAATATGGAGATAGACTATACAGGTAACAATTAATTTAAATGGTAAAAAAAAAATCAATTTAAATTGACTTACTTCACTATGAGTACTCTGTGATGATGGCTGCGAACAAAATCAGGATTACTAGGTTTGAATATAAATAATAAGGATAAAATAAAATATTATGTAGCATAATTATAACATACGTTTTCTTCATCCTTTTGTGACATAGCTTACGATTACAATTTAGAGGTTATGTGTATAATGTACGGTTCGAATCTCTGTGTCTTATATACATGTGATTCAACTTCTATGTTGACATGTGATAATTTAACACATAAATTTATTATTTAGCCAATTTTTCATTATATTTTTTAATTGGCGATGTGTTGGTCAAGAAAAACCCAAGAAATAAGTTTTGAAAGATTTCAGAGAAAAAATCCTTTACGCGATAAGCATAGCGATCTGGTTATACCCTCTCACTCAAAATATTAAAATATAACCATGTCTTATGAAAAAAATTATCTCTAAAAGTATTATTGTATTATTAATAGGATTTAAGACTCAAGTTACTTCAGCTCAAAAGCGCAAAAAGCAAACCGGATATCGGACTGTTACGGCAACGATCCGCAACTCGGATAAAGGTTTATCGATTTGGAACTTGCAATGTTCGAACCTTTATGCGGATATCACCGCAATACAGGAAGTGAGATGGACTGGTAGCGGTAAACTATCCATTAGTAATAAGATTTGTAAACATAGAATCAAAGGTGTAATTTGACTATAATAAATGTACACGCCTCTACAGAGGAAAATGATGAAACAGAGAAATAACAGTTTTATGATGAACTGGAAAGGATCATGGATGCTTGCTCATCTTATGACATAAAGGTTATAATGGGTGATTTCAACGCTCAAGTTGGCAAATGGAGTGTTTTTACTAACTATAGGTAGAAATAGCATGCACGACCGGACCAAGGACAACGGAGAGCGTATGATAACTTTTGCAGCAGCAAATCCCTTAGTAGTAGTGAGCACAATCTTTTTCCATTGGCAAGCACACAAAGGAACTTGGACTTCGCCAAATGGGGCCACAACTCAGATAGAACATATTCTTGTCACCTGTAAGTACTTCAGCAGTGTGCGTGACGTCCGGACTTACCGAGACACCGGGGTAGACTCAGACCATTTCTTGGTGGTTACCAAGTTAACATGCCACATACATCAGACATATAGAAGAAATTATGACCAGAGGCACAGGTGGGACAAAAACAAAATAAATAGAGCGGAGATAAAAAGTATTTTTCAAAACTAAATTGAAAGAGTGGTTGAGAATATACCAGTAACGTGCAGGAACGTGCAGGAAGAATGGAACAAACCTAAACAAGTAATAGAGGAAGCTGCCGATCAATGCTGCAAGAAAGATAGGAAAGTTACTCCCACTTCCTGGTATGATCAGGAATGCGAAGAAGTTATAAAAATCAGGAATATTAAGAGAGCAATGTTAATCGCACTCGTCAGAATCGCAGAGAGTCCCAAGAAGGAAGAAATCATTCTAAGAAAGTGTTGGAACAGAAAAAAAGAAAAGCCTTCCAGGAAAGATTTAAAAACATTGAAGAAGTAAACCTTAGGAAACAAGAAAATTCTTTTAGGACGTAAAGACCGCCAAAGTTGGTTCTGTTAATGAAGCAGGTATGGTATGAGATAAGAATGGAATGCTGCTACGCATCACATCTTCATTGATTTTCGTGCTGCATATGATAATATAATGAGAGAGGAACTCTATAGTGGACTGTTGAAAATGGGGATAGGTGTGAAACTCGTTCGCATTATACGCATGATGAGGGTAAAATGTATGGCCCCATATCCATTCGAGAATGTGCAGTGAGGAGAGCTGGAATCCACCTTGTGGGTTCACTTTTCAATAGGACAGCAATGATCTTTGGAGTGGGCGGGGTGGCCGAATGGGCTAACGCGTGTGCACTGCACCGCCGTTGCCCGGCAACCTGATATATCAATCAAAGATATAAAAATAGTCACGAGTTCGCGTCCCGGTGCCCGGAGTTTTTAAATCCCCGCCCACACTCCCTGGCCCGGGAAAACCCCCGTATAGCCTTAAAGGCGAGGTAGGGAAGGACAAAAAAAAAAAAAAAAAAAAAAAAGCAATGATCTTTGGGTATACAGATGGCATTGACATAATGGGGAGAACTTTTAAAGCCATGAACGATGTATTTTTGGAGCTCCAAAGGGTAGATGAAAGAATGTGACTTGTTATTAATGAGGCAAAAATATATTATATGACTAAATTCTGTGGAGAAGAATCGTACATATATATTGGGATGTATTTCTTCGAGCGATTCATTTGCACACTGATCATCATTCACGCTGATATTGGATTATTCGATTGGGCGTCGGATTGTCTCTGCGAAAAGTTGCTACCATGGACTGACCGGGCATTTCAAGATCTGAGTAGTATCCCGAGCCACTAAGATCTGCCTGTATAAGAAATTGAAAGGCCGGTACTTACTTATGCTGCAATGTGCGGATGGTAATTTGTGAGGCGGATCCTGAGAAGTATCTTGAGGACAATAAGTGTAAGTGGGTCTGGAGACAACGGACTAATGCCGAATTAATGGACTTGTATAGAGATGCTGATGTGGTCACCTTGTCACCTTTATTAAAGTAAGCCATCTCAGATGAGCTGGACATGTCTTTAGAACGCCTGAAGGTCTGGTCCCAAAAAACATAATGGAAGAAATATTTGGCAAAAAAAGAAGTGGAAGACCATGGATTGCACATGCCATATCCATTCTTGGGGTCCCAAACTGGAAGGTGGCTGCACAGCGCAGGGATAACTAGGGGTCAAAGCTGCGAGAGGCCTTGTCTCCACGCGGGACGTAGCGCCACATAAGAAGAAGAAGCTAGTGGCACTAGGTATAGAGCATTTTCATTTATGAAAGATTACATCAGGATCATCCTCGGAATTCTATAATTAACATAGATCACTAGGTCTTGAAATGATGGCCTACAAAAGATTTACTTCTACCACGGGCATGATCTTTCTGGTTCGATTTATTTATTTTTTTTTTTTTTGACAATAAAGTCACGTCAAAATAATTCTTTGGAATTCAACATTAGCATCAAATGTCGCCGATAGGATGCCTTTTATGCCAGTATATTCGTCATTTTTGTATGTGATTAGGAACAAATTTGGATTTCTTTTTATTATTTACTAAAGACAAATTAAAAAAAAAAAGAAACAATAAAATAGTCTTTCATTGTTAGAATTACTTATTTGGAAACAATAAAATATTTTGTAATTATTTCAAGCCTTTTTTAATTAAATTCAGGCTCTAATTAAAATTTTATTCAAAGTCAGTGAAATAAATTACCTTTACCTTTAAAATTGTTTCGTCTTTCAGCAAATTACAGAAACCATTGATGACTTTTTGATCCATTCCTGTAAGGTGACGTCATTTAATTTACCACATATTGCTTTATTTTATTTTTTTCTCTTACTCAATGATAAGAGGGTGTTTTAAAAATATGCCGATTTATAAAATTAAATTAATTTAAAAATACGTTATTTAATAACTAAGAAATTAATTAGAAAAAGGGAGATGAAAATGAATAGAAATTTAACATTTTAATTAATATATTTTGTTTCTTATTTATTTATGATTCTCTAAATATGGTGTGAATGTGCTCTCTGAACTCTTTTATATGTGTCCTTAATTAACACAGATTGTGGTACTTATCAACAATATATATATTTTTTACTTATAGGTCGATGCAAGCATGTTTCCTTCACCCTCCGACGCAGATCCTGTCCACCTTTTCAACTCAGTGCCTCTTCCCATCTCAGACACAGTTCGATATCTTGGATTCCTTTTACACAAAAGACTAACATGGAACCCACATACCAGACTTAAAAGACAAGAACTTAACCGAAGATTTGGCCAGTTATACAGACTACATAACAGAAAATCTAACCACTCAGTTGGAAACAAACTACTAATATACAAGACCATACTAAAACCCATCTGGACCTACGAACTTGAGCTGTGGGGGACAACTAAATTTTCGAACATCAAACGCATCCAATTCTTCCAGTCTAAAGTCCTTCGTACAATAGTAAATGTATTATGTTACAAACAAAACTCTACATCATGATCTTAACATCCCTTATGTCCTTGACGTTATTCCATCCCGTTTCTCAAATTTTCATCAAAACCTAATCTATCATCCTAATCCCTTAGCACAATCCTTATCCAGCTCCAGCCATCCCTACAATCCTCCTCGAAAGTTAAAAAGTGGCCTCGAGATCTTTTGTAAATACGTCATTAGAATCCTGGCGATGGCCAGCTTCTCCACTCAAGTCATGAGCGTATGTTGCTTTAGTTTCCACTGGATCCCCATTTCAGTGATGCGGCTGAGAGAGAAGCGCTGTGATCTCTTAAGGTCCTGTCTTCCTCACGTGGGGGAAAAGGCCCGACTTGGAGATCCCTCGGCTGACTGTAAATATTGTAAACAAGCATGAATGTTATTTATTTATTTTTTAATTTGCGTTGTATCATATTTTATTTCATCTGTTTTACTAAGCTTTCTTTTCTTATTTTTGTTGTAATTTCTATTATTTTTGTAATTGTATATATTGTATGAATGAGTTTCTCACATCGCAAATACTCAATGCCCTTGATTGAGGCAAAATGTATTTTTTTCTCAATAAAAAAAACAAAAACTTATAGGTCAAGCGTGCGATGAACAATATGGTAAAGTGATTATGCAGTATGTCCGTCGCGGAAGTCATGTATTATTGTCGAAAAGAAGACAACGTGTAAAATATAAAAGTTGCAAACACCTGAAAACATGAACTTATCTGACTTTACTAGGGATATTTCAATATCTTCCTACTCTTAAAGCCACTGAATGCACCTGTTATTTGTTTTTACTATTATTTTTTATTCTTATACAACTAAATCTGTACCTATAGTTACAATAAGATAATGATGTGTTTACATATTATTCATTATTGAAATACTTTGACGTATTTTGTATTGTCAGATTCGTCTTTCCTTTGTTAGTAGAAACACAGAGCTTATTTTAAAGAAGAACTCAATGTTTTTTTTTTATTTTAAAAGTGTATGATTATAATTTTTCCTACTGTACATAATTTTAAGTGTCTTGTCATAGTTTTAAGTGTTTTGTATATAGATTTATTTATTTGTATATAGCTTGTTTAAGTAATATTTTCTTTACTTCTTTTTTTTTTATTGTTTTATTTAGGCCAGATGTATTGTTTTAATTTTGTACTATTTTGTTGTTATAAAAGGACTTTGTTCCAGAATAAAGTTATTCTCTAAAAAAAAAAGAGAGAATAAAATTGATTTTTTTACCTTATAAGTGTATACAATTTGATGAATTCACTACATCTTTGACGATCCTCATTACTTGACTAAATCTACTTTTTTGCTCTAGGAAAGAAATTCATAACAATAGTACTGTCTTTGGATGCGGTAAGATTCAATATTTCTCTTCCATTTATTTTATTTTTACAAAATTCACGCTTTTTGAATGTGAAATATATTCCATTAAATGTCCCACATCTTTCGGCAAATTCATACAATATATAACTAAATAAACTTGGTTATAATTATCTGACGAATTACGCTTATATTTTTCTTTCTTTTATCCTTATAGAATAAACATGATCTAAGATAAAAATCAGAATTTTAGACAACCTTTAAATTTGCCGCTCTTTTCTAAATCCGCCATTATATCCTTCATCATCTGTATTGGGAATCTCTGAAATTTTAAATTTAAGATATAAATTGTTGTCGTCATAAGGTGCCTAATTTATTTATTTTATGTAATCATGAAAATTGGTATGATTATGAGTTCTCGAATCATACCAAAATGTTCTATAGCTTTTACTTAAAGCTAACTTATCTACACGACTTTGACACTCTATGTAAAATTATTACGGATCACATTGGTGAAGATTTGATAAAATCTTAATTTTAATCGAGCCCGTCCAACGTCATTGGATTCAGTGTCGGGTTTGTCAGTATTCAGTTTTGAACCTATAGGTTGCTCATCTGTCAGTATAACACAAGATATTACTTATCTTATAAATTTTCTTATCTTTATGACTTACTTTTTCATTGGAGGAAGTCTCCATTTCTTTTTCTGAAACTTTCCAATCAAAATCTTGCCATTTTTTTTTTTAATATGATCTATTTCTTCAGTTAAATTCACGAATATGAAAGACGAATTTTCGAACTTGTGTAGATTGAGCGAATTTATGTAGACGCAACAGATAACTGAGTTTCCGGCCATAACTTGGAAATTACTTCCTACGTAGTTAAATTACAAGTGAAGTTAACTTCCTAAGTAATAGCGAAGCACAAACTACGCTACACGTCTAAATGACGCGTGTTATAATGTTATTCTACCTTCTCTACAAATGTGTGAAACTATGAGTTGAAATTTGTTCAACATAAAGTAGCTGAGTGAATTTAAGAAATTTCCCGATCTTTGTTACTTGCATTTATGTATTTTAATAAGAAATTTAAGTTTTCATAACAACAATATTCATAATTTTCTAATAAAAAAAATTTTACCTTAACAAAAATATAAAAAAAGATCCAATAATTTCGCTAAACTTTTTACAAATTTGGTCAAATGTTGAACTCTGCTTTCTTTGTACTATTTTTCTTAGAAATCTTGAAATTAGTTATTTGTTGTTCCCCAACCTACTATTCTAGGATTTTCATTTTTCTTTTCAGTTTACTTACATATACGCAATAGGGACCTGCGTAAAATGAAGCCAAACTTTTGAAATCAATAAAAAAACTATATCTTTGTTATGATTATAGATAGAATATAGATGGTGGAATGAGACTAAAGAATTTTTTCATTAGATTCATCTTTGGAGTCCATAGGCGCTCCCACGTCTCCAGTTTTCCGGTCACAATATTTTTACTTTCACTTACGTATATATGTAATATATAGTAAGTGTAAGTATTGAGATTGAGAAAATTTTTGAATCTGCGTTTTTGACGGATTTATACGTTTTGAGGTACCCTGAGTCGAAATGACCAAGTCCCTAAAAATTGTCTGTGTGTTTGTATTAACACGCAGTCTAGCTCAAAAACGAAAAGTCCTATGAAACTGATATCACGTATTTAAGATAGGTATATGCCTTAGTTGTGACGGCAACTTTTTCCTTAAAATCGGCTAATCGGAAGTGCCACTTTATATCAACGCTGAAACATATTTTCACAATTTTCTCAAAAACGGCTCTAACGATTTTGATTAAACTCGGTGTATCATTGTATAATTAAGTGGTCTTTAATATCAATTAGGTCTTATTCCCATTGATGTCACTTTACAGGGCTTAAATGCCCAATGTTCATATACGTCTTCCTCCAAAGTACCTTTAATATGGTTTATTTTAAAAAGATAATTATTTCGCATTATTCAGAGTTACGAAAAAATGCTAAATATAACTTTTGAAAAAATTTGATAAATTAATAAAGGAGAAAAAAAATAAAAATGCAGAAAAACCTGCGTAGCTATAGACTGTAGCGGCTACACGAATGCACCGATTTCATTGAAACTTCGCTAAAGTCATTTTCTCTACACCCTTCAAATTTATCTATATAACATACTTCAGCGAAAAGAAGCTGAAAAAAAAGTTACGAGGGATGGTAAAATTAAATTCCGAATAACTCAAAAAGTATACACTTTTTTGGGAATGTTGTGTTAAGATGTTTCAAAGATATTTAAATTGCCTAAAAAAACAAAAGAAGTTCCATCGAAATTAAAGCACTATTAGTGTACTTTAAAATATTTTAGGTGTATTCTCCGAACTTTTACAATCAAAAAACCTTATATTATTGATTTTTATTTATTCCTTGTATTTTATTTCCTATCATGCTTACGTACTACATCATTTTGGAATTCCTTACCTGTATCCATACTTAAAATCTTGTCTTTAACTTCATTTAAACATTTAACTGTTTTTACATCTGCTGAACTATCAATCTTATCGAATATTTTGTTTTTTCCAACTTTATTGTACTGTTATTATCTAAATTGCTTACCTGTGCAAATATGTTAACATAGCGGTATTATTTTTTCTATAATTTCATTTGATTACTTTTGCTAGTCTTTTATTTTTATTTTAATGTTACTTAATTTTCTAATTTATTTGTTTTCCGTCATTCAGACATATCAGAATGTAATTTTCATTATTCTTAGGGAACTAAATCCCCTATAATAAAATTTACCTTTCTTCTTTCTTCGTTAACTATTATTTATAAATGTACTTGTCAGTACATTTGAATCATATTTTTATAATTTGTGTTAAGTAGCAAATATAATAAAATATCGACATTAAATAGACGTTTTATTTTATCTATATTTTTCGACTCTAAATAGGGTTTATAGTGTTTTTTATATTAAAACAATACCTAAATTGTAAATCTGAACTTTTCAAATATAATAATTGTTCTGCCAAAAAAGGGAAGCTTGAGGATTGATGATTTTTCAAAACTCAAATTGACGATAATCTGATATAATTTGCCTATCTTCAATATTGCCTAATTTGAATATTCCCTGAGTAGTGTAATCTTATCCTAAAAACCAGTTATGAAAAAAAAAATCTTTATAGTGTATTAAGTGTGCCCTTTTAAATCTTATTCATCTTAAAATATTCTAGTTAAGTATTTATCATCTTGAATCAGTTTTTTTATAACTTACTACTTTAGCATTCTCCTCTTCCTCTATCGAGAGTTCTCCCTGAAATTTTTAAATATAACTTGAAATCTTGTTGCAGCAAGAACCTTTTCTTTCTTTTTTTTTTTTACGATAATCATAGAACAAATAAAGGCAGAATATTTATTCATTAAAAATAAATTAAAGGCTTTAGTTAACCTTTTAGGGAGCGGCGTTGCTCAGAGGATGAGCATTGACTTCCAAAGCTGAGATTCGAATCCGGCTGATGACTAGTATTTTTTTATCAGCCGTGGATCCATCCTGGGGCCAGGAGATCCTCCTGGGGTGCACCCAGACTCTAAAAAGTGGGCAAACTTATTTAAATAATAAATTAAGGGAGAAAACCTAGCGATTGATCGTGTTCTCTGCCCAATTACCTCTCTCGACAACCGTTGGCCATTTAACAGTACTTCTTTTCTACATTACTGGGCCCTAAATTCTCCTTAATATTCTTTATTCGAACATTAGGAGATAGACTTTTTTTGAACTGGGTAATGTCCAGCATAAGTGAGAACTGATCTTACCAGGGTCTTATACCATTGCACATTTTATTTCTAGAAATATCCCTATTCCTGAAATGCTTCAATAATTCTAAAGGAAGAAGAATTATACTTAGAACTGGAGTTCTAAGTGAAACTCCTAGCTGAACACACCTCCCTGAACAGGACCTGCAAAGTCGGGTCGAAACGTCGGCTTTTAATAAAATATTTTTACCACTATTTAGCCTATTTATGACCACCACCCCTGACCATCTCCTTCCTTTATAATGCAACGGTCAGCTATTAAATATTCAATAATTCTAAATATCATTTATTTGCGATCATAATTATACGATGGATCTCTGCTTGTTTGTCATTATCCGTGTTTACTTGTGAATCAAGACAGACAAACTCTTTAATCTTTTCAGATAAAAATCTTCCAGACATAAAGTTCGATACTTCGTGCACATCCAGTTGTGGTCCTGCTACTTGGTTTTTTATTCATTAATCTCTAAACCCTTTCTAGCCGCTGCACTCTGGAGACTGATAAAAGCATTTTAAATATATGTCATCGGCGAAGGCTGAAGTCATAGAACATCTCGTTCCCCCAACTAGTATTCCCGATTTGAAATACCAAATTAAAGAACAGGTATGCGAAACAATCATACTTTCTCAGCTCTTTAGAGGTTTTAAAGCTATCAGTTACATCACCATAAACACGCACTGTGTATTGCACTTTCTTCATCAGAGCCCTTATTAGACGCATCAGCTTCATTGGTACTACCATTTCAAGAAGATCCTGATACAGCTGGTTTCTCGTTATACTATTATAGGGAATTCGAAAGTCAATTAACAGGTGGTGTGTGTGGATATTATAGTTCCTGCACCTCTCTAGGGTGCTGCTCGTTTCCCTCATAAAGCCAACCTGGTGCTCCTATTCTACTCGGCAAAGGAAGCACTTTTTTAACAAAATATTTAAGAAAACACCTCATACAGGTAAGAGGGATATACCTCGATAATTAAAACAAACACATCAGCAAAGCGATTCGGTGAGGTGGAGGGTAGAAGTCTGAAGTACAAGATCGGGTGATTGAATTGGACAGAAAATCAAAATTATAGGTACTGTAGTTTATAAGATGGGCACTGGCTTTTGATAACTTGGAGCATGCATTGGAAGGAGGGAATATAGGTAGGGTGCAAGTAAATACTGGCACTTGTAAGATAATTAGTGGTGTGAAAAAGATATTATAGTGTCTAAACATTGTGTAGCTGATTTGAATTTTTGTTTTTTATTACTCACCTCAAAACTGGCTTCAGTCCGTTGATGAGTCAAAACTGATGAGGCCAGCTCCTCCTCTGTTGAGCCTCCTCCCTGAAACATTCAGATCGAATTCGAAATCTTGTTATTGCCTAAAAGAGTTTTATTTAATTCAATAATAACGGCGACCCACTTCTTTAGCGCTCATGTAACTGCTGTCAGAATCCATGTGGAAAAAAAAAACTTTTAAAACAATAAAAATGTAATTTTAATATTTGTTTGTGTCCGTTGTGTTTTGGACTCCGATAACATATGTTTAAAATAATCTTTTATTATAAAAAAAAATGATTAATGTGAAATCTCTGACAAAATCACATGGTTACCGTGCAAAGCAGAAGAGCTATGAATTGTGAATTAATCTCCTTCTTGTGGGATGGATATTTGGAACAGCTGTACTGGCGTTAGTCTCCTTTGGTTGATGTCACAATTTCCATAAGTTAACTGAAGTGACCGATCCGTCTGGTAAAGCGGTAACCTCAGCTGAAAAGGAACCGTTGATGGTTTGTTTATCCGTTTAGAGCGATCTGAACCGAAAGGATGAATACAATTTAAGCTAATTAACTTCCGAATTTAACTGAAGAGGACCAGCTAAGAGTTTGCCAACGTCTTAAATCTTGATCTAAATAAAGGGAGGTTGCACTGTGAACACATGTAAATTCTAGGCTATTCTCGGAATCCTTTTTATAGTGTGATCATGAGATCTTGACCCTCTCATCAAGGCGAAATGATATTTGTACATTGGTAACGAATATCTATTTTATAATGTAAATATCAATAACAAAATATTTGTTAATGAATTAACTACACTCTTTCCTAATCATGTAATAAGTAAATACCATGTTAACGAATGTACCAACTTTTCCCACTTTTCACATTCGTCACGTGAAGATTTGTTGACCGAAAGGTGGAATCAGGACCGTCGCATGGGTTTTTGTCACCCAGGGCCTAATTTTAGGTTTAGATCTCCCTCACCTCCCTTGAATTCGGTATGTAGTTTATTGTCTCATTTTTACGGGTTATATTTATTGTAGCATAGACATACTTTTCACTACCGATAAATATCTAGCCAGCTTGAAATTTATCTAGCAAGTTAGTGGAACTGAGGTCAGAAATAATTATTCCTCTTGTCGTGAATGAATTAAGATCTAAGAGAAAAGGGAATTACTCAAAAAATAAAAAGCTGGTAGAAATAAGATTTTTCAAATGTATTATGTATTCTTTAAAGTGGTGTCAAAACTGAAGGATAAAAATAAATTCCAGTAAATCTCATCCAATTACATTTACGCATCGTTGTAAACCTATGACTTCTTATCCTACAGTTTCCTTTAACATTACTCCACTTATCCCTGTGGAACAAATCCGATACCTAGGACTCCACCTTGACAAACGACACACTTGGAACCCCCATACCAGACTGAAACGACTAAAAACCGCCCGACGTTTTCGACTACTCCAGCACTTACTAGACAAACGCTCTAAACTTCCAACTATTTACAAAAGACTCATATATATTACTATAATAAGGCCTATTTGGAATTACGAGATCGAGCTTTGGGGCTCTACTAAACCATCAAATTCCTCTCATATCCAATCCCTTCAATCCAAAATCCTTCGTGAAGTCCTTAATGCTCCCTACTTTGTCACAAATAAAACCATCTATAATGACCTTAATGCACCATATGTTTCCGATTTAGCTCAATCCAGATACCTATCCTTCCATAATAAACTTCTGAACCATCTGAACCATCTTGTTTCCAACCTTGATTTCTCTTCTATTCCTGATAACCCTCCGAGGAGTTTGAAATGAAGATGGCCTCGGGACATAGAAATATAATTGGAGTGCTACCAATGGTTTCTTTCTCTTCATGTTGTACATGTCATGTTGCTTATTCATATTTGCTTATTGTATTTGTCATTTAATACAGTTATAAATTTCTATAATAAATAAAATTTTAAAAAAGCATTTATTTTTTATATTTTTGCCTCTGATTCGTAGCGGACCCTGGACCGCGTTGCTCCGTTCGGGCCCACGCAACGGCCCAGCGTGGACGGTCCTGTTAAAAGACACATTTACAACTTTTGTTTCATTTTGATCACTAATTCTCGACAGTCAAGGTTTCTTATAGGTAGATCTGGGATTGGTTGATATTTTTACTTGCAGGACAAGATAAGCTCTCTTATCTCTAATGGTTAGAGGAAGAATGTTGCGGATTAATACCGTTTAATCTTTAATGGATTAATCCGTATTTTTAGATTCTATAAATCTCCATCACGTTTAGTTCTTTTTACAAATAAATAACGGTGTGGAGCAACACATCTAAATCCTTGGCAGTTGTCCTCTGAACCTTGCACTTCTTTCTAGTTAATAAATATTGAAAAAAAAAAACATAATTCATATTTTTTTTCCCCAAAGTTAACCAACTACTCCTTCATTCTTTCGCATTATTAAGCTAAATCCACTATTACGAAGTGATTATGAACACAATTAAATAATAGTGATTAAGTTTAAACACTGCTGCAATCAACATTAAATTTATATTTTTAAACACATTTCTCTCTCCGTCTCAGGGATGCATAGAATCAGAATTAAGACCATTAGAGGAGAATGGAAGTTAGAAATAATGGAAAAAAAGAAGATTAAAGGCGTTTGGATATATGAAAAGGATGAAAACCAAAACGACATTTGAGTGGGAAGCCGAGGGCTGGAGAAGAAAAGGAAGGCCTCAAGTCATGTGAAGGAAACGTCCAGGCTGACGGAGGAAGAAGAGATGGACAGGAAGAAGTGAAAGAACTGATTGAGAGAGGAACTAGGCTTAAGGAAACTTTGGGAAATTCAATTTATGAAGAAAATACCCTTAAATAAAAAAAAATTTTAAAATCCCTGTATCTTAGGGGGACGCTATAGCTCATTGAATAAGGCACTGTGCTTCCAAATATATCCAAATCCTGGGTTTGATTCTCCTCCATGGGTTGTAGAAGTATAGATTTTCTTTTGATTGTTTTTTACTCTTATCCTACATTGTATAATTTATAATGAATTTAACAACAGATTTTTTTTTATATGTCATACTAGCCCATGGTGCAGTGGTTTATCAAATTATTAACATCCGCCTGAAACTTCGTGAATGTTAATAATTCGTGAATCTTATCGTAACCTACAAAGTTTTTATCAACGAAAATTCTCAGAAATCAATGAACACCCATTTGCTTTCTACTTTAATCGTAAGATAATTTGATCACTAGATTGTGAAAAAAGGTGGTTTACAAATATATTGGGCCGTTTGACCTATATAACTTCGTAATTATTATAAATTATGAGTGAAGGTCACGCCAAATGTCCCAATATTTTTATAGGCCACCTTTTTTCTCGAGTTTGTGATCAAATTATCTTACGATTTAAGTGGAAAGCAAATTGGTTTGGCAAGTTTTTGGTACCTAATTAAAAACAATGTTTGCTGATCTCCAGATTGGAAACGCCCCAATTATCGTAAATATAAAAGTTGTTGGTTACGATGAGATGAAGTTATTCGGTTTAGGTGGATATTAATAGAAATAGAGATAGAAAAATCATCTTTATTCTGGGACTAGGTCCCTTTAGAATAACATAAATTAACCATAAATCTGGCCAAAAGACTTATTACAATGAATAATAACACAATACTAGTAATAAATTAAGTAATAATTTGATAAAAAGGATTTTTTGTTTAATATTTGTTAAAAAATGTCTTTGGTATATTAGGTAGCTTATGTTTTAAGGCTTAAGAAAACAATTTTTTCTATTTTTATTATGGCCTAAAATCTGTAATCCTTATAAATGAATAAATTTAGATTAATTAGTTTTTGTTTGTTTCTTAATGTCATTTTCACGATTCTTCATTGTTTAATAAAGCTTTTCTTTCTCTACTATTATTATTAATATGTAGTTAATGATTATTTATTATTTAGAAGTTGTTTTTTTTTATTATGGTTTAAACTATTCAAAAATATTATTATGTTGCTATAGAATCGTTCTAAGAATATTATTTTTATTTCATTTCAAGAAGTTTTAGACCTATTAGTTTTGGCAAAGTATTAGATTATTTCATTTATCGTATTAAAAATAATTCTTATAACTATACTTAATTTTCTTGTTTTACTTCATGCTTCATGATATCAATGTATGATTTCAAAACTCAAACCGACAACCAAACCATTGTGAAGACCTACTACCTTCATTAACTCTATTTTCCTAGTATCATTTTTCTTGATTGTGGAAAAAATATGAAACTTCTGAAAATAATGCATCCTTTCTTCGGTAATTATAAGCAAGTTCGGGTATGTCTACATTTAGGGGAAGAAAATTTGGTTTCAGCGTCTTCCGACAGAGATGTAATGCTTTTTTCTACTTTATACTTACATTACATGCATATAAGTGTATTGTATCAATGCAAGAATATTGTAGTTATATATTGGATGTCTTAAATTGAGGAAAATTAGAATATTTACTAATGAAGCTGTTAAAGGATATGGAAAGGAAATATTTCAAAATAATTAATTAGTGTATATTTTATTGAGTTCAAAATAAATATTGATAATTAACAAATAATTTATCTCTGAATATTTAAATAAAGATATATACAGTAAAACACAGTTTTTACATCAGAATTTGATTTCTTTAGTCCTCTACAATTGCTGCATTTTGCCTATCCTAATTGGATAATATGCAAGGTATTAAGTGAGTAGAATGTTTAAAACAGAAAGAATGGAACTCTTCATTCAGTAAGGATAAAAAGGATATTCGGTTCCAGAATCATCTTACTGAAATGAAATATGTGTTGTGAAGAACGTAATAATTTATTGTTGTCCTAAATTAGCACATATATTTACAGTATTTAATATACTACATTTTATATTTAATATGTTTATATCATTTAATATACTCTAGTAAGAGATTTTAAAGAATATGAAAATTAATATTTAAAATAATATATTAAGTTTGACAAATAAAAATATGTATTTATCATTAATAAATTATTCATCTCTTCATGTTCATCTTTGTTTTTATCTTGTAAACAAATAATATAATAGTTGTTATCAATTTTACTATGAAAAAATAATTAATTTTATTTAAAATCAAATGTTTATTTGTGTAAAACCTTAAAAAAATAAATTTCAACTAATTATACAATATCTTCAAAAACTTTAATAAAGCTATTTAAAAATGGACTCTTACGTCCAAGAAGATGCCTTCTCGATAAGAGAAGCGTTTTGGATAATCTGCAAGGAAAATAGATGACTAGAATTTTTGTCCTGAGAGTTTATAGTGGTAGTTCATTCAAGCAAATCATAGCTCCCTGAAATCAAATAACATCTTATTGATCACCTTTAGCTACTAAAGTTTCCCATTTCTTATTGACATCAACGATATTTTTGCTATCCAGGATCTCTCCTTTGGTTTTATGTTTGAGTATTATGTTTTAATGAGAGAATATTGCTTTTTTTCATCGATTTCTTTGAAGGATTTTTTGTATTTCGACAAATGTCAACCCTTTGGTCTCAGGCAAATACATAAACAAATACAAACTCGTACCAGCGGAGAAAAGAGAGAACACAATATAATCAATATAGTAACCAAAACTATCTCCAATCACTTGATACATT